GTTGAGACGAAAGATTTCAAAGGGGATGAAGGCACGAGATATCGCAATCCCCTTTGGACAGTCTTCTTGTGTTCTTTGTGTCTTTAGCCCGTACTTCCGGTCTAGCGAGTATGCAGAGTACTTACAGTATAGGACTTCCCCATTAATAAAACGCTACGTTAAAAAAAGAAAACTCGCTTTTTTTTCGAGCGTGTATATATAGATATACTTTTTTTTTTATTCTCAAAGGGTTGAAAATATTTTATTTTATTTTTTTTTTTTTTTTTTTTTTTTTTTTTGGGATGGAGGGTGAAGCTTGAACGCGAGAACAGACTGAAAGGTTCGTTCCACAGGCGACTTTTCCCTTTTCGAACTTGCCTTCGCGATGTAATCGATTCTGCGTTGCGCGATTTTTCGATTCTTTTTTTTTTTTTTTTTTTTTTATATTATAGATAGATAGATCTGGTTTTAAATTTAGAATTTTACAGTGATCAAAGTAAAAAAATTAATTAACTGACTGACTCGAAGGCAGTCCATTGCAGAGAGAAAAAGTGTCTGTAATGGAATCTTTCGTTTTTCCACTTTTCTAATAAGTCCCAAAAATGGGGTCCAAGTTAATTAAGACGCCTCCAATTGATCCTATCTGTTAGGCTGATGGAGGATCTCTCTCACGGTTTCTCAGGGGAAAACTTCTCCAAACTACGCCAAAAATAAAAATTCTTCGAAATTTTTTCTAGTATTTATTCTGTGTATTAAAAAAAAAAAATAAAAAAAGAAAAAGAATAAAAAAAAAATCTGAAAAAAATTGAAATCGTAAAAAATAGGATTAAAAATACACCCGGAGAGATCCTGCATTTGGAAGTGGCCAGCAATTAAAGCCGACAGGTAAATAATCCACCAGCCGTATCATCAAATTCGAGAATCGACAGCTTCTTAACCACGATCTTCGGTCTATATATTTACGAGATATCTCGACAAAAAGGGATCGCTTTTATCGGCACATACCCGTCTGCGAGTGCGGCGAGTCCATTCCACGGTGACCGTCCTCGGGCCTGAGCACCGGCGAGAATGTCGGCGCGCTCGACACGGATACCGTCGGAGGCTTTTCAGTCTTGTCGTTCCTTATGAGCTGATGCACCGGTGGCGGGCCTGTGAAAATAAGAAAGAATTCCAAAATTCGATTGCAATTCGAATTGCAAATAATTTGGAAATTTTAGACGAAAGCGAAGACATACACCCTAGGAATATTTTCGTATGCTCGAAGCGCTAGGGACTTTTAGGAACTTTTCTGAAACTTAACTTAATTCCAGGCTAGGAATTTTTGCTCGATACAAGTTGAAACAAATCGAAATTATTTAGTAATCCTAGGTTTCCGTTTTTCGACGAGATTCGAAGTGTTCTAGGGAAATTTTCCTAGGATCGTAGCTCGCTTCAAGTTTGTAACGTAATCCGTTTCGAGATCCTGGAAAGATTACGCGGATGTTACGATAAATTACGAAGGAAACATCTTCGATTGTTTCTTGATCGACATTCGAG